GTTTAGAAAATATAGTGGACTGAATTCTTTAAGTAGATACATTTACTTTTAAGCTACGAATGTGATCTTATTTTATATTAAAAAACAATGGATTTGAGTTTGTACCTGAAGCAAGAAGCTTTATTATTTTTTGATAAAAACCTAAAGAAATAAAGTAAAAATCAATGCAAACAAGACAGTACATTTCTTCTAATTTCTTCTGCAGCTTGTCGCATAGGAGTAGAGTCATTTTCAGAAGTTTCTATTGTAATTTCCGAATTCTCATTTTGCACATCTGCAATATCCTCTTCGTCGTATGGTACATTGTAATGATTGCAAATATTATGTAAAGCTGCACAAACATTTATGATCAAAGTGGCTTTTGCAGGAGTGTAGTGAAGTGCGCGAGCACTTAGCAAACAGCGAAACCGACTCTTTAAAACCCCAATCGTCCTTTCAATAATATTCCTTGCTTTAGAGTGCCGCGAGTTATATAAACTTTCTACTGAACCTTCTTCAGGATTCCTTTAAGGTGTTAGCAAATAAGGCGCTAAGGCATATCCAGCGTCACCTTAAAACATAGAAAGTAAATAAATTAAATATGAAATGTTTGAGTTACAGGTTGAGTACCTAATAACCAGGTGTTAGATTCACCACGGTTATACATTGACTCCAATTGTCTTTTTAATCCCGACATTTGAAAAACCATGGAGTCGTGTGTAGCGCCGGGGTGCTTGGCATTGATGTATTTTATATTCATTAAATCATCACAGGTCTAAAACGGGCGCAAAATTGTAACAGGAAAAAACATTAAATTTAAAATACTTTAAATTACTCTATAGAAATTTATTTACTTACTAGCATTGTATTTATGCTAAAATACTCCTTTCGACAGTAATACAAATGCTTCTGGTGCCACAATCTTAATGTGGGTCCCGTCAATGCATCCAATTACTCCGGGAATACCAAAGCTAGCTAGATTTTGCTCTTCTCTTTTCTTCCTCAGTATACTTGGAGCTAATCCACTTACTACATAGAGTGGTTTGCAACGCACTCAATGTTTCTTTCAATACAATGGAAACAGTAGGTTGGGCTAAGCCAAGTAACGCCTCATTACCAACACTCTGTTGGTATGATCCCTGGGCTAGAAATCTTAGAGTTGCGCATACCTTTATTATATTTGGTATGGATGACTTATTTTTCCGTACACGCAATTTGTTTTCTACTTCATTCAGGATATAAATAACTGCTTCTTTGGAAAGTCGAAAATTCCTCTGAAAACTAAAAGCGCTTCTTAATTATTGAACTTTTAAATGTACATTTATGAGCTACCTACAATATAGAATTCATTTCCAGAGGATTCGAGGCATCTCTTAAATTTCTTCTTTCGATAGCCTCTATGCGAGTCTCATTATATCCTTCATTTAAATTTATAAAAAACGCAATTGATATTGTAGAAAACATGTCCTTTAATTTTTATTTTATTGCTCACTCTCAATTTCACAAAATAAAGTAAACAAAAACCACGGTCATTCACAATAGTGCATCTATCGGGCGTATGAAAACGACAATACCAATACTGATTTCATACGACACGTTTGCAAGCGTTTATCGTTTATCGTATGGAAATTCATAATAGGGGGGATAAACAGTCTATACGACCTAAAGCAGCTTTCTAAGTTCATCAGAAGATTGATACTTTTGAAAGTTCATAAATAAGTATGATAGATTTTGGAAGAAGACTTAACATTTGATGCTATTTTTTCAGAATATAAAAAGATTTTGCACTCTGTTGTTAGTGGACATGAAACTACTTTAAATGCTGGTACGTAATTCGCCAAAAACTAAGAATCGAAAAAATTTTACATAGCGCACTTTGCAAGTAGACTACTCAAATGCATTTGTAGTTTGAAAATTTTTGCAATTTTAAACATTCTATATATGTGTATTTATGTGTATATTTTAAAGATCCCAAGTTCAAAATCAAATACTGAACATCTTATACGTATATTTATACAGATTTTTGTTGAAAAATAGATACTTTTCAGTAGTAGTTTTACATGCTCTTTTTAGAGTGTACTTGCTACTTATTATATTTACTTTGCAAAATACTTATGCACAAAAAATGTACTTATAAATTGAAATTACAAATGCTTGATTTTATGCACATTTATTCCAAGTCCTTAGGATGGGTTAAATTATGTCTTTTTCATGAAAATGTTTGGTTTTCTTACAAATTATGAGATGTATATGTAACAAAAAAGAATCTATACATTTGGATACATTTTTGGCTTGGTCAGGGATAGATTTTCTGGAGACGGCGCGACAACACTGGTCGGCCATACTAGCGTATTCAAACCAAGAACGATAGAATACAAGATTGCGCATTCCCGCAGAATGACATTTGTGGCAACGGGTAAACAAAGAATATGGCGAAGAACAATGAGTTGACAGTTGTGAATTTGCAGTTTTCTTCACGATTCACCAATTTCTCAAGCCATCTTTGAATATAGCAAATTAAGCACAACGTTAACAAAAAATATACAACCACTCTTGAAATGTGTTCAAAAGAATAGGTTTTATTAATTAACTATTTAGAATTTTTGTAATTGTATTGCAGGTGCCGAAAAAGTGATCATATCTTGTCCCAGCGCATGTTTTCCTGCAGAATGTGGTCGATGCTTGCTTACCTCCGATTTTAATTTGTAATTTGTGGTATTTTAACGTTTTCAACTTAACATGTCGCGTTTAAAAGTGGTCCGTAAAGTGCTTCATTCATATTACCCTGGTGTGTAAATTGTAGGGCTTCTCCTGCCGGCAGAACTCTACCCACTTTCTGGACAAGGCGTCGTCGCGGGGAAACAAAAAAAAAACTGCATTTGGGGGCTTTACCCCTACGGCTGCAGCAATTAAACACAGGACACGACATTTTTATAAAGTTTTTATTACAAATAAAACGTTTTTTACTTCACAACGCACGAATTACTTCGATTTTTCACTTGAAAGTACACAATACGTTTGCAATACGTTTGCACTTGTTTTTAAACAAAAAGTTTGTTTACGTATTGCCATAAACGTCAAAGTCGGCAAATCCAAAGTAGCGGTTTCGGGAATGCGCCACCTTCAGTTCATTACATCATGTATTCAAACGATTCAATAAGTGGGACCAGTGTTGCCAGAACTTTTTGGACCAACCGGCTAAGTTATCAGCAAAAAAGTTTGTTAAAAAAACAAAAAAATATATGTACATAGTTGTTTAAAAATATAAATTTTTCCCTGACCTTAAACCTTTAAGCGTGGGAAACAATGATTAGTTGTAATTAAGGCAGAATTGAATATGCGCTATCTGGGAAGACAAATAAACTCGTAAAGTCTTAAACTGTGTAAAACTCGTAAGTGTACGAGGCTTTTATGGCAACGCCCTTTGTGAAAAGGTGTAAATAGGTGCGTAAAGTAACTGTCTAACAGAACAACCAGGATTTTGTGAAGCAATTTTTGTTTCGTAGTATTTTCCGTAACATCCCGCCGCCTTGTCTCTTTCACTCTTGGCTATAATACAATTAAAAATGCCGAAAATTATCAGAAAACCTATGTAAGTCAATATAGTATATTTTATTCCCTTATTATTTTTTTCATTTACATTCATTCCACTGTACGCACCTATTTACACATTTTCACAAAGGGGGCATTCCTATAAAAGCCTCATAAACTTACGAGCCTTACACACTTACAGAATCCCCGAGGTGAAACAATTTGTTATTTTCTAAATTTACGAATAAAACTGCACACTTAAATTTGAGACAATTCATATCTAACAAACATTTTATGAAGAAAATCCCTGCTACGCCCTTCTTTAGAAAAAATAGATTCGTTTAACATAAAAATAATCGAAAACGGCCCAATTTTATATAACCCTGCCTGACATGAAAATTTTCTCCGCAATAAGGCTAGTCGCCATTTCTAACAGATTTTGGGTCGCTTAGTCAAAAATGGAAATATGTATATATAATTGAATTTTAAGAAAACAAGGCAATAGCAAAATCGGCTAAAAACGGCTAACTTTTTTTTGCAAAACGGCTAACAAATCGGCTGCCGGCTAAAACGAAATTTCTCCGGCTGTTTTCTATCGCAACCGGCTAAATCTAGCCGGAAAACGGCTCAAATGGCAACACTGGGTGGGAGTGTGTGCATTGCTTAGCTGGCGCTCTTCGTATGTGAAACACACATGTGCTCAGAGAGCGCTGAGCATTATTTAGGGATGGCTCACAAGCATGAATATGGCCCTTATTATGAGTTGCATTCGATTTCGATCGAAAGTGAAATTTGTATTATGAGCTATGCAAGCGTGTCGAAATTTTCGTTGAGTATCGAATTTTCTGTCGAACAGAGGTTTGCTTTCGTTGGTGTAGCAAAGTGTTAGAAAATTGTGAAAAATGTATGATTTTGCATTTGTTTTCTTACTTTTTGAGGGCTATACACTAATTTGGAACTTTTTTTTATTAATTTCATGCCGTTCTAACGTCGTGAATACTAAACACAAGCTCGAAAGGCTGGTTTTACTTGTGAAAGAAAATCCCAATACTCTGCTGGCACGATCTCTGAGAACAAAACCATAGAGATGTTTATACTTTTAATATATTTTAAATAGATTTGGATCACAAAATTTCTTAAATATATTGTATGTCAAAATATATTCGAAAGACTACACTTAAACTCTCTTAAGCATTTTCTGCTCCTGGCTAGTTTTTTAGGCTCTCATCCTCTGACGAATCGTTCAACCAGAACTGCGTTGTACTCATTTTTACCACGTTTTTATAAACTCGCTTCCTTTTTTACTTCGTTTTTATTTGCACAAATTTACATAAATATGTATAAGCACACTATTTAGTTTGCTCGATTTGTAAACAAAGCTTCTCAGCGGTGAAAAATATACTATTGTGAACAACCTAATCGAGCGAACTTCACAATAGTGCTATTCTTCACCGCATGAGTGCCATAATACCAAATGAAAATTCGTTCGATCAGCACTTTCGACCACAGTCGAAGATCGAATGCAACTCATAATAGGAGCCTATGTTCCGCTCTCAAACCAAATCGTGGTTGCCTCAACTAAAATTTGGTAACTATGACTAAACCATGTGTTGAAAGCAAGCTTATCTGTATTAGCAGAGCTTAATGACATCCTTTTATGAACCATACGTTAAGTTTAATGGAATTTGTAGAAATATGCTTAAAAAAAATATTTATTAGTATTTACCAAACCCTTCAACTAAATTAACGATTTGGTACAGCCTAGATGAATAGTGCAATGGGGTATAGTCGTTGCGCTGGGTATGCAGTTACAGTTGCATGGCTATACTCAATCCCGACTCTTGCGTCCTCGTTCGCGCACTCTGGGCAACGTGAGCAACCCATGTGCGAGATGCGGTAACCAATCCGAGTGGAGCCTTGGGTCACAGCAGAAAGAGAGAGAGCTTCGGTGGGGCCACTCTGACTTATTCGGTTTAAGGGCTCACTGAAGTCTGCAGCGTCTGTTCACCAGTAGGTGCGGCTGCAAGCGGGTGTCTGCTTAGAGCAAGCGGCTCGCTATATAAACGTGTATTTGGTTGCGAAACCACCCCCGTCCCAGCAATGGGACCCGCCATGTAAAAACCACTTCCAGTGAAGAAGCAAGGCAAAGCCTCGGATGAGACCCGCTTTTATAATGACGACCACGGCAAAGGTTTAAAGGACTACGATTTGAGGGCATGCACCTGGAATGTCCGGACCCTTAATGGGGAAGGTGCCTCTGCCCGGCTGGTTGATGTCCTCGTAAGGACAAAAGCTGACATCACCGCCATCCAAGAAATGCGAACAAGCGAACAGGCAAACAATGCCTGGGGCCTTGCGACGTCTACTACAGCTGCCATGTAAAGGAGCGCAAATTCGGTGTTGGATTTGTGGTGGGAGAGAGACTCCGTCGCCGAGTACTGTCGTTCACCCCGGTGGACGAGCGTCTAGCCACAATCCGCATCAAAGCGAGATTCTTCAACATCTCGCTCATCTGCGCCCATGCCCCGACGGAAGAGAAGGATGAGGCATCCAAGGATCTCTTCTATGAGCGCTTGGAGCGCACGTACGAGCGCTACCCCCGTCATGATATCAAAATCGTGCTTGGCGACTTCAATGCCAGGGTGGGCAAAGAAGGGATCTTTGGAACCACCGTCGGAAAATTCAGCCTCCACGACGAAACGTCTGACTGAACGGATTGAGGCTGATCGACTTCGCCGGGGCCCGAAACATGGAAGTATGCAGTACTAGGTTCGAGCATAAAAAGATCCATCAAGCTACGTGGCTGTCTCCGGATCGAAAAACGAGAAACCAAATCGATCAAGTGGTGATAGACGGAAGGCACGCTTCCAGTGTTTTAGACGTACGCACACTCTGAGGCCCAAACATAGACTCGGACCACTATCTTGTTGCAGCCAAGATACGCACCCGCCTCTGTGCAGCAAAAAATGTGCGCCCAAATATGCAAGGAAAGCTTAACGTCGAAAAGCTGCACACAACAGACAGCCAGCGCTTTCGCTACTCGACTGTCACACCTGCTCTCAGAGAGCAGAGGCCGAAATACGTGAGTGCGAAGAGCT